TGGCTGGTCATTCTCTTCCAGCTGGGCAATCAGCTGGGCCTTGGTTGCTTTCTGCACAGGCAAGCCCCTCTCTCTGCACAGCTTCACCAGTCGGGCATGGGCCATCTGCCCGCTGATCCCCTCAGTGCAGACTCACCAGTCTAGTGCTGCAGCGCCCCACGATTCCCAGGAACCGCTTCGCTCCGTCTCCTGAATGCCTGGCTACTGGGCTCTTGCTTCTAATGCGCCTTGTCACTCGCCGCTGGAAGCTCCATTTACGGGGTGCAGTGCATCCCACCCCTGACACCAGTGTGGTGGCTCTTTGGGGGTCCCCCGCCTCCTGCACCCCCGGAATGGCACGAACAGACTCCACCAGCCGGTAGAATAGAGGTGGTTTATTGCTTCTCCAGCATACAGCACAGCACAGATGTCATCAGGTTACAGGCAACGGGAGGCTCCTGGCGACGTGAATGGGCAGCTCCCCAGTACACCTGAGGGGGGCCCTGAAGCATGAGGAGCGAGGGGAAATTTCTTTGGTTCTGTGTGTGCTGACGTGTCTAGAGACACCGTCTCCATCTGGCCTGGGGGCAGGCAGGTGTTGCCACTGATGGAGCTGGGCCCTTGTCAGGGGCACACGTGTGCCGTGCTCCACTAGAGTCTGCTGGCGGGTCTGACCGGCCTTCGTTTGCCAGGCCTCAGGCCTCCTGCCAGGCCCTGACACCAGCGCCCGTGTTCCAGGCCCTCTCCCGGCTGCCGTCCCACCTTGTCCTTCATGGGCAGGTGTCCCCCATCGCCCTGGGGGAGCAGAATCCATGAGCTGTGAATGGGCCAGTGGGCGAAACACTGTGATGTGGTGACCTCACTTTGCCCTGCAGCCATCCGCACCCCGTCTGGGCCGTGGGCTGGGCCTTCCCGTGTAGCACTGAGGGGCAGATTGTATCGTCCTGTTGGGTCTGGTCTCTGCTGATGGGCCTGGGAGTGTTCAGCTCTGGCTTTGGCTGAGGAATGCTGTTGTACGTAGGACTCATGGTCCAGCATGGCAGAAAACTCTGTTCAGGAACCTCTTTAGCCCTTTCCTAATAATCCCCACTGAGTTTAAGAGAGGATGGGCATGATGGTGAAAAAAAAGAGATCTGTATAAAAATAAATTAACAAACATAGTAGAGAACAAACATGCTGTGAAACGTGGAAGGCTACAGCACAGGCGGGTGCCTTGTACGATAGAGTATTGCAAGGTATAATCGTGGCTGTTAAATGTGTGAGAAAGAGCTGAAGGAAGGCTCCCATGACAGCCAGATGGAGAGGGAGACACACTGTTTGCTCCTGCTTTGCTGAGTTGTGTAGGTGTTCAGCTGATGGGGTGGTATTTTGTTCATTGTAATCAAGGTGGCTGGCGTTAGGTCACAAAGTGTGTTGTCACTAATTGCAATATCTGTAAAATGGTGGGAACACAAAAGAATAAAGTCTGTGCTTCACCTGGCATAAAGGAGGGAAACGCTCTTGTAGTACGTCTACACAGCAATGTTATTTCGAAATAACTTAGTCCGTGTCTACACACAGACAGTTATTTTGAAATAACATTGAAATACTATCGAGCTGGAGGGCTTCTTACTCCAACTCGGCTTGTCTCGGCTTGTCTCAGCTTCACGAAGTCCTGGCTGGGTTGATCTAGTTGGGACTAGTCTTGCCTTGGGTAGGGGCCTGACTTGATGACCTTCTGAGGTCTGTTCCAGCTCTATGATTCTATGACTCCTGTAACCCTGATTGGACGAGGAGTAAGGGGAGTAGGAGGAAGAGGGCTTTATTTCCAAATAAGTGCTGTGTAGACACTCCCAATTTCAAAATAAGCTGTTTTGAAATAAGCAATGCAATTGTGGTAGCTCAATTTGCATAGCTTATTTCCAGTTAAGCCCTGCAGTGTAGACACATCCTCCGTTTAAAGAATGAGATTCTGGGCGTGGGTGTGTAAATACAGTTCACTTCTGTTTGCTTAGATCTGCTAGATACTCAACTGTTCCAATGGTGTTTGGTCCATTGTCATTAATTTGACTGTGGTGGGGTCACAAAACAGACTTTCTTCTTCTGTGCTCCCCCCATACCTACAGACATTGCAATTAGGGTTAAGACAATTTGTGACCCAACACCGGCCAAGCTGATTACAACCAGCAAAACCCCGCTCCCTCAATTGAATACCTAAGGACGTTAGGTTTTCTCTCCAGGGCTGGCCTTTCCATGAGGCGAATTGAGGCAGCCGCCGCAGGTGCCAGACTCTGGGGGGGGCGCCATTAGTACCCAGAGTGTAGAAAATTGTGTCTGCTGCTGGTGCAGATGTGTTCTCTCTGCTCTAGATGCACAGAGACGGTGGTAGAGCAAAACAGGAAGAAGGTAGAATTGAGACCTTTCAAAGTTTTGGCCAAAGAGATGGGGCGTCATTTGAGCTCCCCACCTCAGGTGCCAAAATGTTGTGGGCCGGCCCTGTTTCTCTCCCTTCCCAGCAGGCTGTAACGGGAGCCTTCCTTGCTCCTGCTCACACACTGAACAGCAATGGGAACACTTCGCAATACTCTACCCTACTTACACAGTCCATGACGTGTTTGATCCCCGCTGTATATTTTTTAAATTTTTATACAGGTCTTTTTTACAAGCCTGCCCATTCTTTATTAAACTAAGTGGGGATTGGCATCAGTGCCCCTTTCGCCCTCCCCTACCCTGCACAGCGAGTAAGAGGCTCCCAGGAGGGCAGCTCCAAGGCAGGAGCAGCATGACAGTGGGTGAAGGGGCAACTGAACCACCAGCACTTGATAACTTCCTGGCCAAACCAGTCAGGGTCACCTGTCAAAGGCTCCAAGATCTATGGGTAGATCCCGATCGACTGGTTGGTGACCACTGCTCTAGATCAAAGTCGTGGTTGATGGGAGCCACGTTCACCTCTCAGCTTTGGCCTCCAAAGCAATTTGAAAGATCATCCCTTGGGATGAGTTCTTTGCCAGAAAAAGAGAAGAGAGAAGGGGAAAGAAATGGGTGTTCCCTGACTTCCCTCGGAGGGGGAGACACACAACGAGCGTGTGGGGTGGGACAGAAGGATGCCTGCAGCCCCTACTGTGTTCAGGGCACAAACAGAAGATGCGACATAGTGTGAGGCCTCAGCGATTGGTGATTTATGGCTATGGAGAGAGTGCTACTCCCTGCCCCATGCTAGGCACTGAGGACATGGAGCTACCAAAACCTCTGTGCTGCAGAAGGGACGTGAGGCTCGACCAGCGAGTTCTCTATTTTCCAGGTGTTTTTCCTTCTTCCTATTTCCCTTTTGCATGCAAGGCCCAGCCATGAAGTGTCGGCCCCAACTCGGAGCCACTGGAAGCCAGTCGCAGCCCTGAAACACTGATTGACTTAGAATTCCTTAAATGTGTGAGACTATAATTGAAAGATATCAGAGGAGTTAACAGAATCTCTTCCAGGCCACTGGCTACACAAATGTGAGTTGTTCAGGTGTGTGGGGAGAGGCAATGTCCGTCCAACAAGCCACTCAAAACTCACCCAACAACACCATAACTGACACATCTCCCCATTCACATTCCATCCCGAGAGAATACTCGGAAGATCCTCTTGTGAATTTCCTTCATTTTCACACTGTAAACGATGGGGTTTAACACAGGGGGGACAAAGAGGTAGACATAGGACATAAGAATATGCAACAGACGAGGGGCACTTTTTCCAAACCTGTGCAAAACTGAGACAGCAATTATTGGGACATAAAAGAGCAAGACAGCACAGATGTGGGAGATGCAAGTGTTCAGGGCCGTGAGGCGCTGCTCGTGGGATGCAATATTTAAAACCGTCTTCAGAATCATAATGTAAGAGAGCATGATGAACAGTGAATCTACACCATACGTGACGACAATGGCAAACAATCCATAGATGTTATTGATGGTGGTGTCAGCACATGCCAACCCCATCATGTCCGGGTGCAAGCAGTAGGCATGGGAGAGGACATTGCTTCTGCAGACTGGCAGCCGTTTAATCAGAAAGGTGGAAGGGAAGATCATGACAGTACTTTTAAATACAACAGCCAGCCCGATTCTCACGATCCTGGGGTGGGTCAAGATGGCTGCGTAGCGCAGCGGGTTACAGATGGCCACAAAGCGATCGAACGCCATGGCCAGTAAAATCCCCGACTCCATGATAGACACGCATGGAAAGCGATGTCTGTGAAATGGAAGAGGAAGGTGCCGAGCACGGTGGGCAGAGTTGACAAAGACATCCCGAGGTCATTGATTGACAACATGCAAAGGAACAGATACATGGGCTGGTGGAGACGCCGGTCTGCCCAGACAATGCAGAGAACAAGGCAATTCCCCACCATGGCAGTGACGTATAACACAAGGAAGGGGATAGTGATCCAGTGGTAAGCCGCCTCCTGGCCTGGGAACCCGGTCAGCTGGAACATCACAGGCTGGAAGCTGGTGCTATTGAAACCCACCATGATGAGCAGTCGCTGTCCCGGCCAGCTCCCAGCCCCTGTGTCAATGCAAAATGAATCTGTGAGTTCCCCTGGGACCAGGAGACTGGGAAGGGACCAGCAGTTCTATACTGACTTGTGCAATCCCAACACACATGAGCCCTCTCTTGTGTTTCAGATGGATATAAAAGTTATTGAGAGTCTCTGGGTTAGATTAAAAGGGGTAAAAAAAAGCCTGATGTCATGCTAGGTGACTACTACAGACCACATACCGAGGCAGGAGAGGTGGGCGAGGTTTTTTTAAACAACTAACAAAATCATCCAAAGCGCAGGTTTTGCTGGTAATAAGGGACTTCAACAGTCCAGACATCTGTTGGGAAACTAACACAGCAAGGCACAGACTATCCAACAAGTTCTAGGACTGCATTGGGGACAATTTTTATTTCAGGAGGTTGAGAATGCTACTGGGGGGAAGCTGTTCTTGATTTCATTTCAACAAATAGGGAGGAACTGGTTGAGAATTTGAAAGTGGAAGGCAGCTGGGGTGAAAGTGGCCATGAAATCATAGAGTTCATGATTCTAAGGAAGGTTAGAAGGGAGAACCCCAAAATAAAGTCAATGCATTTCAGGAAGGCAGACTGCAGGAAACTCAGAGACCTGGCAGATAATGTCCCATGGAAAGCAAGACTAAGAGCGAAAACAATTGAAGACAGCTGGCAGTTTTTAAAAGTGGAATTTTAAGAGTCCAAAAATCGATTATTCCACTGCATAGGAAAGATAGGAAGTATGGCTAGATACCAGCTTGGGATAACCAAGACATTTTAAATCATCTAAAAATCAAACAGGAGGGCTGTGTCTACACTGGCATGAATTTCCGGAACTGCTTAAAACGGAATACTATTCCGTTTTCAGTTTTTCCGGAAAAGGAGCGTCTACATTGGCAGGCTGCTTTTCCGGAAAAGCCCTTTTTCCGGAAAAGCGTCTGTGGCCAATGTAGATGCGCTTTTCCGGAAAAGAGCCTTGATCGCCATGTTTGCGATCGGGGCTTTTTTCAGGAAAAGACTACTGGGCTGTCTACACTGGCCCTTTTCCGGAACAGTGTTCCGGAATAAGGACTTATGCCCGAGCGGGAGCAGAATAGTTTTTCCGGAATAGCAGCTGATTTTGTACAGTAGAGCATCGTTGCTTTTCCGGAAATTCAAGGGCCAGTGTAGACAGCTCGCAGCTTATTCCGGAAAAGCGGCTGATTTTCCGGAATAAGTGGCCCAGTGTAAACACAGCTCTAATGTTTAAATACTTAGCACAGGTGTGGCCAGCCTGAGAAGGAGCCACAGTTTACCAACGGTACACTGTCAAAGAGCTACAGTAATTTGTCAGCAGTCCCCATCTGGTGTCTCCTCTCCCATATCCAGCATCTTTCCAGCAGCCTCACCTATCAGTGCCTCCCCTTCCTTCAAGCGATCGAACGCCATGGCCACTAAAATCCCCGACTCCATGAAGGAAAAGGAGTGAATGAAAAACATCTGGGCTAGACACGCATGGAAAGCGATGTCTGTGAAATGGAAGAGGAAGGTGCCGAGCACGGTGGGCAGAGTTGACAAAGACATCCCGAGGTCATTGATTGACAACATGCAAAGGAACAGATACATGGGCTGGTGGAGACGCCGGTCTGCCCAGACAATGCAGAGAACAAGGCAATTCCCCACCATGGCAGTGACGTATAACACAAGGAAGGGGATAGTGATCCAGTGGTAAGCCGCCTCCTGGCCTGGGAACCCGGTCAGCTGGAACGTCGCAGGCTGGAAGCTGGTGCTATTGAAACCCACCATGCTGAGCAGTCACTGTCCCGGCCAGCTCCCAACCCCTGTGTAAATGCAAAATGAACCTGTGAATTCCTCTGGAACCAAGGGACAGGGAAGGGACTTGCAGTTCTACACTGTATTGCCCAATCCTAACACACAAGGTCCCTCTCTTGTGTTTGAGATGGACATAAAATCAGACTTTTTGAAAGTCTCTGAGTTAAATTAAAAGGGGTAAAAAAAAAGGATGATGCTATGCAAGGTGTCTACTACCAACCACATACCCAGGCAGAAGAGGTGGGCGAGGCTTTTTTAAACAACTAAAATTCATCCAAAGAACAGGATTTGGTGGTAATGAGGGATTTCAACTATCCAAACATCGGTTGGGTAACACAGCAGGGCACAGACTATCCAACAAGTTCTTGGAATGTATTGTAGACATTTTTTTATTTCACAAGGTTGAGGTGGAAGCTATTCTCGATTTGATTTTAATGAATAGAGAGGAACTGGTTGACAATTTGAAAGTGGAAGGCAGCTTGAGTGAAAGTGATCATGAAATCAAAGAGTTCATGGGTCTAACGGAGTGGTAGGAGGGAAAACAGGAATATAGCGACAATGGATTTCACGAGGGCAGATTTTGGTAAACTCAGGGAGTTGGAAGGTAAGGTCTACACTGGGCTAAATTCCAGAAAAAAAATCTTTTTGAAACATCCCTTTTTCCTCGTAAAATGAGGTTTACAGCGATACCGAAAAAACGCATCTGCTTTTCTGAATTTTTTTTTGGAAAAGCAGACGTGTTCCTTAGACGTGGTAGAAAACTACAAAACTCTTGTGTCTTATGTAGACTAGTGTCTACAAAACTCTGTAGTGTAGACATAGCCATAGATAGTACACTTATTAATTACATTATTGTTAGCGCACTTATTATACTTTATTGCTAATTATACGAAGCCAGGAGGAGTTGCAAGTACATTGGAGGATAGGTTGAAAATTCAAACTAGAGAAATGGTCTGACGTAAATAAGATGAAGTTTAATAAGCACAAATGCAAAGGAACTGCACTTAGGAAGGAAGAATTAGCATCATGCATACAGAATAGGAAGCGACTACCCAGGAAGGAGTACTGCAGAAAGGATCGGGGGGTCATAGTGGACAACAAGCTAATTGTGAGTCAACAGTGTAATACTGTGGTAAAAAAGGCAAACATCACTCTGGGATGCATTAACAGGAGTGTTGTGAGCAAGACACGAGTAGTCATTCTTCCACTCTAATCTGCACTGATTAAGCCTCACTCGGAGTGTTGTGTCCAGTTTTGGCCACCGCATTTCAAGAAAGATGTGGAGAAATTGGAGAAGTTCAAGAGAAGATCAACATAAATGATGAAAGGTCTAGAAGACATGAGACTGTAAGAACTGGATTTGTTTAGTTTGGAAAAGGGAAGAGTGAGAGGAGACATGATGGCAGCTTGCAAGTACTAAAAGCTTGTTACGAAGAGGAGGGACACAACCCTTAAGAGCTTCAGAGCCTGCCCCAGGTCTGCGGGGGTTGGAAAGTGTCAGGCAGGGGATGCAGCTGAAAGCAGGATGGGGCCTGCGTGTCCCTGAGCTCTGCAGGTTGCCGGGCAATCGCCGGCCCTCTCTGGTGCGAGAAGTGCGTGGAGAGTACAGATTTCTCACAGCCCATGGGATGGGCCCAGGCGCAGGGGCACATCAGGATGGCATGGACGGGAATAAGACAGGCCCAGCGACGCGCACTCACAAGGCCCAAACTGAGCAGGGTTCAGTGGAGCTGGGAGGCAGGTCGGTCGGAGCAGGGTTTGTCCCTCTGGCTCTGGTGGCGCTAGGAGCTGGATTGTGATTCCCTGCACCTGTAGGCAGGCTGCTGCCAGCTCTCGCCCAGCCCATGTGGGTCTCTGTGACCGGCCAGAGCGAGCCCAGCGGCCCTGCTGGGGACACGCGCCCGGCTTGCTGGGAGCTAGTCTATGTCTGTGAGTGCTGGCCAGGGACGGGCCCAGCTCCTAGTGTGGGTACCTGAGGGAGCCAGAGTGAAGCCCGGGGAGAAGCCAGAGACTTAGAGGGATGGGAAGAAAGAAGCTTGTGGGAAATGTGTTGTTGTTGTTGTGTGTGTGTGTGTGTGTGTGTGTCTGTCTGTCTGTTTTGGTGTAACAGGCTGAGATGTTCCCAGTGAGATGAGGAGATGCAGTCGGGGCAGCAGGCAGTGGCCAGCGGCAACTGGACAAATATCCAGCACACAACAGAGCTGAGGGACGTGGACTCTCACACAGAGCAGAGGAGATCTGGGCCTGTAAAGACTCATGTAAAAAAGTCCACCCATGCCCCTTCCCCGGCTGCCTGGTTTGCTGCCTGGGGGTGACAGGGCTTTGCTGGGCACCCGGCGTTTGGGCTCCTCTGCCCCGAGGGGACTTGCCTGGAACCGACTGGCCAGCGAGGGGCAGAATTTGCCCAGCACAGACGAGAAAAGGAAACGTTTGACGCTTTGTGGGGCTGGTCTCTGCCTGGAGTCTCCCCACAGAGGGGTCAGAGAATCACCCCCCGTCTCTCCGCGCAGCCGACTCACCGGGTGGGCAGGACAATGATCTTCAGTGGAAGGAACAAGCCCCCGGGCCCGGCTGCCTGGAGCGCAGGCTGCAGCCTGCCAGGCACCGGGAGTATTTATCCAGCATCCTGGCAGCAGCGCCGGGGACTCCCCCCGCCCCTGGGACGCAGGCGGAGGCTGAGGTGTGACCAGGGGCTAATCAGGCACAGACGCCTCGTACAGCAGCAAGAGCTAATTGCCCCCGGCCTGGAGCCAGCCCAGGGATATAGACACGGCCGGTGTGAGTCAGACCCAGGGTCCATCTAGCCCAGGATCCGTCATCTGCCAGGGGCCAGGGCCAGGTGCCTCCCTGCCGGCTGGGTCCCTGCCAAGCACGGCCAGATTCCAGGCTCTGCTCACCCTGCCTGGCTCGGTGTTTTCTTCACTTTCTAACCAGGGAATAAAGTGAATTTCTGCAGGGCGCAGGCTACTGGGACTGAAGAATTACAGTTCTGAGCTCTTACACAGCCCCTTTGCCCCACGGATCTAAGAATGCTGATAAGGAGAGCAGGGACATGAGCCCCATTTGACAGATGGGGACACTGAGGCACGGGTGTAATGGGGGTGGGGCTTGGAACATAAACCCACATATCCAAGGCTTCAGGCCTGGGCTAAAGTGCTCCAAGCTTCTGGCTCTCTGGCCACAGCCTGTGCAGCCCGGCGAGAGAGCATACATAGGTAGTCAAATGTCACCCAGCCTCTGACAGGGCACCAGAGTGGCAGGCGCCCAAGTGACACACCGAAGGGCCAACATGCAGCCTGTGGCAGAGCTGGGACTAGTATCTGGGTCCCTTGAAGCCCATTTTAACTCTCTGATCCCTAGGCCACACTTCCATCCCTGGGCGAGGGACATGATTTAGCCAATCGTGACACTCTCTGCTCCTGCTAGAGTTACCTTTCCAGTCATCCTGTGTGTCTCTGAGGAAGGCTGGATCCCTAAAGTGATGTGCAGGCATCTCTGTTTGGTTCCTGGTTGGAGTTTGGAAAGGCTAAATTGTTGGGCATTTCCCAGCATGCTGGCTAGGGCACTGCCCCCAGGGCTGTAACCCCTCCTAGGAACACATCACGCTGCCCCACCTCAGCATACACGTTCCTGTCGGGCCCACAGAGAGGGGCCTGCGGGCTACCTCTGCGGATGAGCTCCTCGCCCCCAGAAGCTGGACTAGGGACACCAGCCTCTCCTCTTTCTCCTTCCAAGGGGCTGAAGTCTTGGGGCTGAGGACACCCAGTGGGGTAGACAGGGCGGGAAAGCAGGGGCCCTAAAGCACAGCCCAGAAGGGCCAAGAGCTGTTCTGTGCTGCGGGCACCTGAGAGACGCCGTTACACTCCAGCCCCACACGTTCCCGGGGAGGGATGGGGAGTTTCTCTGACGCCAGTCCCAGCCGTCTGTCACTTGTGGGACAGTCTAATGATGCCATCAGAAGAACAGAAAAGGAACAAACAGAACCACAAGAAGGTGTCACTGGTGTCTGGTTTGTAAAGCTGGCAGGCTCAGCCACCCGTGGAACTGGCTCTGTATCCAAGACTTCTCTGGTAGGAAGAAGAGAAGTAAGGGGGGAGGGAAGAAATGGATGTTCCCTGAATTCCCTCCGAGGGGGAGACACACAATGAGAGTGTGGGGTGGGACAGCAGGACGCCTGCCAGGGGCTCAGTTTACAGATGTGACAAAGTGTTTTCCCCCTCTTCCCCGTCGCAGCTATTGGTGGTCTATGTCTAAGGCAGTGCTGCTCTATCTCCCCCCTGCCCCGCCTGTACTGGGCACTGAGCACACGGGGCTACCAAAGAGTCTGTGCGGCAGAACTGACATCAGGCTAGAGCAGCAAGTTCTTTATTTTAAAAGTGTGTTTCCTTCCTCCTATTTCCCTTTTATATTCATAGAATCATAGAATCCCAGGGCTGGAAGAGGCCTCAGGAGTCATCAAGTCCAGCCCCCTGCCCAAAGCAGGACCAGCCCCGACTCCATCATCCCAGCCAGGCCTTTGTCAAGCTGGGACTTGAAAATCTCTAGGGATGGAGATTCTACCACTTTCCCGGGGAAGCCATCCCAGAGCTACCTCACCCGCCTAGGGAAATAGTTTTTCCTAATATCCAACTTAGACCTCCCTCACTGCAACTTGAGACCATTGCTCCTTGTTCTGCCTGTGACAGACCGGGCCGAGTCTGGGCACAGCTGAGGGCGTCCGCTCAGGACGAATTGCTTAACTTCGGGGCTCCTTGCAGCCCCCAGACTGGTGACCTCTCCAAACAGGCCACAAACCAGTCCCACAGAGCGCTTCAGCTGCCTGCCTGAAGCCTCACGAGCAAAACCCCTCCGACACCCCAGCAATATCCGTGCCCCAGATGGCCCCAGGCCTCATACGCCAGTGGGGGGTCCTAGCACCCAATCCCACCTACCCCGAACAAGTCCTGTCCGGTTCCAAGAAACCAGCCACAAGA